GGGGGGGGGGGGGGGGAGACGCTGCCCCAGAGCCCTGCCTGGCTTCACCCAGAGCCGTGCCAGAGCCCCCAGCCTGCAACTCTGTGATGGGAGCGCCCCTCGCCTGGCGCCGGCATGCGGCCCCTCTGGGGCGGGGCAGAGGGCCGGTTATCCAGGGACCCCCCGGGCAGGGTAGACACGGACAGGGGCTGTTCGCACAGGCCCCCTGGTTTGGGGCAGGTTATCTGGGGACCCCTGGGGCAGGGGGCCAGGTAGACAGGGACAAGCAGGGCAGGGGCTGTTTGCCCAGCCCCGTCGCTCACGTTGGTGGCGCCCCGCACCGGGCCCTGCGGGATGGAGAAGAGCTCGGTGAAGTTGGGGACGGAGTCGCTGATGAAGGTCACGTTGCCGTAGACGTGGTGGGGGAACTTGGTGCCAGGCGCCCCCTCCTCCACGATGCCGATCTGCGAGGTGCGCACGTGGTACGGGAAGTTCTTGTTGGCCGCCGATGGGCGCGTCATGATCTGTGGGGGGAGGAGGGGTCAGTGCTGGAGAGCGGGGCAGAGTCCCCGGGAACTCCCACCCCTGCCAGTCAGGAACCCCGAGCATGCTGGGGCCGGGGGAGCTCACCAGGGAAGGACACTTACCTGTCCCGTAACCGGTGTTCTCCGAGAGGTGTCGCTCACGGCCACTCCGGGTTAGGGGAGTGCTCGCCCCTCTCTCCGCAGTGTCCCTAGGGGACCGGCTCGGGCACCCTCTGGAGCGGCGCCCGCACGGCGCGGTATAAGGGGCGCCACCGGCTCCCCCCACCCTCGGTTCCTTCCTACCGGGAACTCTGACAGCGGGGCCGGCGGCCGGGGCGTGGAATGGACAGGTAACCGGCCCTTCTTCCCCCAGTGCTCGCTCGTGTCCGTTCATGGTTAGCGGACGGGTAGGAGCTCGCGTGGATGTGTGGATTGCAACACACCTCTGCTGAGCCCAGCGTCGTCCCTGGCCTGCTGGGTGACGGCGTAACGCTCCGGGAACGTGTGAAGCAAGGACCACGTCGTGGCCCTGCCCATGTCCTGGGTGGGGACGTGCGCCAGGGAGGCCGCCGAGGACGCCTGTGCTCTAGTCGAGTGGCCTTTCGCCAACGGGCCTGCCCATGACGATCCAGTTGGGGATCCTCTGCGAGGACGCCCACTGTCGCGATGAAGAGAGGGTCGGCCTGTGGAAGGGCTTGGTACGCTCCAGGGCACGGCGGGCGTCCAGGGCGTGCAGCCGCCTCTCCTCAGCAGCCGAGCGCGGCTGGGCCAGAACACCGTGAGGAGGACGTCCGGGCTGGCGTGGAGACAGGACACCTCCTTCGGCAGGAGGCCGGGTGGGAGGCAGCTGCACCGTGTCCCTGTAGAACAGCGTATATGGCAGCTCCGAGGTCCTGGCGTTCGGCTCTGGCCCTCGTCTCCCGACGTCACCGCCGCAGGGAAGGCGACTTTCCATGACAGGTGGGGCCCGTAGGCTGGGAGGCCTGGTAGCCCGGCGAGGACCAGACCGAGGGACCAGGTTTTGAACCACTGGGAGGACCCTCTGGAGGCCCCTTAGGAACCTGACCCGATTTCCCCGGCCGCGTGGGTGAAAGGCCGAGATGGCCGCTAGACGATCCGTGGTGGAAGACAGGGCTGGGCCCTGGCTCTGTGGGTGGAGCCAGCTGTCTAGGATGGGCAGGGTGAGGCGATGCCCCGCACTGATGCCCAGCGGGGGAACCTCGTGCACTTCGCTGCGCAAGTCGCTCTAGTGGAAGGTGCTCGACTCTCCTGGGCGACCTGCTCCCCCTCCCTAGAGCAGGTCCGTTCCTCTGGGTTCAGCCACGCAGCGTCCACGCCGCGAGGCGGAGGGAGGCGAGGTTTGGTGCAGGAGACGGTCGTGAGCCTGCAACAGGAGGTCTGGGCAATTGGGTAGTGACCAGGGCCAGCTACTGCCAGATCCATCGTCGTGCCGAAGCACCCTGGGCGCGGCCACACTGGGGCGACCATGGCGACCCATGCTCTGTCCCCCTTGATCTTTGATGGGACCCCGCTGAGCGGGATGGGCGGGCACGTGAACACCAGGTCCCCCGACCACGGCAGGAGAAAGGCGTCGGAGAGGGCACCCTTGCCGAGGCCCTGCAGGGAGCAGAGCTGATGACACTTCCTGTTCCATCCAGGGGTGAACAAGTCCCCTCGGGGAGCTCCCCACCTCTGGCCGAGCGTCCAGGCGCCCTCCGGGTGGAGCAACCACTCGTGGGGAGAGAGGGACCTGCTGAGGCATGTTCCTCATGCCGGGGAGGTGCCAGGCCTCCAGGTGGGTGGATGCACCTCGTGGCAGAGCCGACGAGCGCGCTCCCTCTTGTCTGTTGATGTAGAACATCGCGGACGTGTTGTCCGTCAGCACCCTGTGACCAAGTGGGGGATTGTCTTGTGTTTTCCTGGGTTTTCCAACGGTTTGCATGTGGAGTGGGTAGGACTCAGTGTCCCTGGGTGTTACTGGTTTAACGAGGTGAGGGGAGAGGGAGTTCATTGGGACACAGGACCGGAGAGGGAACTTGGGACCCCGGCCGATGGCCTGGAGGATGGACACCCCAGCAACTAGTGACCCGGAGGCCCAGCGCAGGAGTCGCAGCCGGTTCCGGCCAGTGTGGGGACAATGGGCTGCGGGGAGAGGACCCCGGTGACCTGACCAGCCGGTTCCAGCCACAGGGGCCAGAGGACAGAAGAGGGGAGAGGAGGCCCAGGTGACCCTGTTTCCCTGGAGAGAAGACAATGGACAGAGGTGGGACTTGGGGACAGGGGTATCAGATGCCCAGCTGGGGAGCAGGGGGGCTCGGGGCTGGAGAGGAGGAGCAGGCAGAGCCCCCCTGGATGCAGGGAGACTGGGGTGTGCTGGGCTGAGGGAGGCCAGGCCTGAGGCCAGAGAGTTTCCTGTGCTGGGTTCAACGCTCAATAAACCCTCCTGTGTTATGCTGGCTGAGAGTCGCTCCGGTCTAGAGAACAGGGTCGCATCGTCCCTTCGGGGGCGGAGGCCCGGGGGTCCAGAGCGAGTGGACTCCCTGAGGGGGCCCACGGCAGAGACAGACATGCTAAGGCTCAGAGAGGTGCGGCTCCAGGAGGTGGAGGGGCCTGACCCCGAGAGAGAGTGGACCCCTGAGAAGGGCTGTCGCTCTGAAAGGGCCACCCCCCCACGAACCGCACGGGGCCAAGAGTGGGCACGATCTGTGAGTCCGTGACGCCCGCAGCACTTTGCCCGGCAGGTGCGGCAGGCAGAGCCCGCAGGCCAATCGGTCCTGAGCTCCTCCACGTTTACGTGTAACGCCAGCTCCTCTGGGGACCACGTCCCTTGGGCCACAGCGTACCGCAGCGCCCCCCCCGCCGAGGTCGGGGGCACCGGGAATGAGGGAGACCAAGGGGGTGAAACGCTGCGCGCTCGGGTCGCTGCACCAGCACAGAGGTCAGAGCCCTTGGTGGGCTCGTGAGGAGCTTGTCCAGGTGATCTCTGGACGGGGACCAGACGGTTGAGTCACTGCTGGAGGAGCCGCAGCCTGAGCCTCGCTGGGGCCTGGTAGCCGGCGGCAGACCCGGACCGTGGTGAGGGGGAACACGCAGAGCCCAGCAATGAGCTCCACCATCGTCCGGACCCTGGCGAGTGGCAGGAAGGCTCGGCACAGGCCAACTCTGTCCTCCGCGCCGGAACCAATGTTCATTTCCCCTTGTTTATCACCAGGCCAGGGCGTGGCGTGTGGTTTGCCGTACTGCCAGCTCACACTGCCCTGCGACCCAGGGGGCCCTTGACCAGCCGGTCGCCGAGCTACGGATAAATGTGACTACCCGACCTCTGAGGTAAGCTGCCACCGCCGACAGGCACCTGGCAAACCCCCTGGGTGCCGTCGCCAGCGCAAACGGGAACGCCGCACTGGCTGTGAGCAGAGCCTGTCGTGAAACGTGTAACGTCGCTATGCGGAAATACGCGTCCTTCAAGTCGAGGGCGGCGAACCAGTGCCAGGGCGACCAGGTGCAACTTCAACCTCTTGAGATACCTGCTGGGGTCTCCCAGGGCCAGATGGGTCTGAGACCCCCTTGGCCGCTGGACTCAGAAAGTAACGGAAGTAAAACCCCTTGCCCCTGTGGGGCAGAGGAGCTCCCGCCCCCAGAAGGCCCTGGAGCTCCCAGGAGGGGGTCTGTGGGGGGGGGGGGTTGTGACGAACTGGGACTGTTCTTAATGTGGTCTTTGAATGCTGAGTGGGGGGTGTTGGCTGGGAAGGCAGGGGAGTGTGGCTAGGACGGTCTGCACTGGGGGATGGGAGACTGGCCGAGGGAAGATACCTGAGCCTGTAACATGAGAACCCAGGAAGGGGTTAGAGGCCAGGTGACATCTTTGCCCAGGAAACTGGACAAAGGCTGTGGGAGGGGTCGCTGAAAGAGGGTTTCAGAGCTGGCTGGTGGAATGGAGGGCAGCCCAAACGGGGCTCTGACCCCCCAATGGGGCTGTGGTGCCCCTGGGACCCCAAGATGGACCTAACTGGGCGGGATCCTGTTGTCTGTGCCTGCAAGACCTGTCTTGGACTGTTCCTGTCGTCTAAATGAACCTGCTGCTTTACTGGCTGGCTGAGAGTCACGGTGAATCGCAGGAAGCCGGGGGGGCAGGGCCGTGTGTCCCCCCACACTCCGTGACAGGGGGGTTAGAAATGACTAACCCTGAGCCACAGGCCTGAGGACTCATTGGTGCGCCAGGCAGGCAGGGAAGGGGGCAGGCGGCTGGAGAAGCGGGGGGAAGCAGGACCCAGGACACCGACTGGAAGGCCGCCTTCGGGCTCGCCCCGATGGAGCTGGACTGGGCCGAGCCCAAGGGCTGCTGGCTCTGACGGCGCTTGTCGGCTTTGCTCCGGGCTCCGTGCCGGGCTGGCTCCCGAAGCCCGTCCAGCTGCGTATGCGGCGTCCGTGTGCTCCGCAAACAGGCCCGGCCCGGCCCCAGGCGAAGGCCCGACTGGGACAAACATCGAAGGGAAATGATCGAACAACCGAGTAGCTGCAGAGGCGAAGTTCCCTCCGAACGGATCTGGACAAGGAGCTTTGCCGAGCAGGGAACCGTCCAGCACCAGCACTGGAACCGAGGGTGGGGGGAGCCGGCGGCGCCCCTTATACCGCGCCGTGCGGGCGCCGCTCCAGGGGGCGCCAGAGCCAGGAAACTCCCGGCACCGGCACGTGGCGAGCACAGCCCTAACGCGCGTGGGCAGGAGCAGCCACTCGACGAACACGGCGTGCGCGTGCACCTGGGAGGGTTGGGGGCCTGGCGGGGGGCACCGGGGGCTCACCAGGAACACGGTGTGCGCGTACAGGTGGGTTGGGGGGCACCGGGGGGCCACGGGGGGCTCACCAGGAACACGGCGTGCGCGTACAGGTGGGTGGGAGGGTTGGGGGGCTGGCGGGGGGCACCGGGGGCTCACCGGGAACACGGCGTGCGTGCACATGTGGCACCGGGGGGGCACAAGGGGCTTACCAGGAACACGGCGTGCGCGTACAGGTGAATGCCCAGCTGGATCCCGTTGACGATTTTCTCGCGGGCCCAGCGGGGGATGCCGAAGTTGGCGATGAGCGCCGTGACCGGCACCGCAAAGAACCTGCGGGGAGGTGGGGGGTGGGGTGAGTGGACAGAACTCCCCCTCCCCCAGCTCCCCCAACCCCAAACCTGTCCCCTCCCCCAGCTCCCCCCACCCCAAACCTATCCCCTCCCCCTCCCCAGGGCCTGGAGACCCCCCGCCCAACCCCCCTTCCCTTTTAACTGCCCAGCAGCAAGTCCCAGCCCTGGCCCCAGTGCACTCACCAGAGGGTGTAAGCTGCGAAGAAGGGGACGTAGAAGGGCTGTTTCTCGGGGCACTGCTTGAGGGTGGTGAGCACAGCGTAGCAGAACCACACGTAGGCCAGGAACTGCAGTGCGATCAGCCCGTAGCCGGCCGGCGACTCATACGTGTACAGCACCTGCGCCGGGTCGAAGAACTGCCCCCCGCCCGGGTCAGCACCCCAGGGCCCAGCGCGGGAGTGGGGCTCTGGGGTGGGGCTAACGGGAGACATTCGAGGGCCAGGGCCCCGTCCCATCCTGAGGGCTACAGGGAGATGGGCCTGGGGCGGGGGAAGTCCTGGGGAGCGGGGGGGGGGGG